ACACCCAGGTACCACTCCAGTGCCACTTCGGTTGGTGCCAGGGACCAGTACACTTATCGAAATCATAAGGGAAGTGGAACATGGCCCCGACAGGTGATTGGCCACTTCCATGATTATTCCAGGGACCTGTAAGCCAAGGATGTGTGGATACTCCCACAACAGTACCTGACACCTGCATTTTGCTGATCATTCGAGAGCTCCTGCAATCCTTTGGCCCTTTTCTTGGAAGGAAACAGCAACGAACACATCCTCCGACAATTTGTGTGTTGCCTTTGGTGTGATGGTGTGATGACCGTGGGTCGTTGATGGTGTGATGCCGCAAATGTGACCGGAATCACAAATCCACAGGGCAGCTGGGTCTTGCCTTTGACACACACACACACACAATTCGCCTGTCTTGAGGCCATCATAGACTTGGTTAAAGTTCACGATGCCGTTCCTTGAGTCGCGGAGATTGAGGAGATAACAGCAGCATGGCAGTCGTGCGAGTTGTTGGCCATTTCCCTGGTTCGATTCTCAGGGAGAGATCACTCCGGACCAGTGAAAAGAGATGAACCGCTAGGAATTTCCATGCTTGCAGACAGGCCCAATATATACAATTGGTTTGAACATGCTTGAATTCTTCACATTGGTCACTCGGCTTTCGACCGGCCGTTTGTGTCCGACATCGAAGCAATCACGTGTGCATCTTATGAAGATCCTGACCCTGGGAACATCTGTCGATCAATCCGGTGAATTTCTACAACCCTTAGTCCATGGATCCCAGCTGCATATTGTCTCTTCAGCACGAGCCAACACTTTAATAAGCCATTAAGAACTTGACCAAGGAAGGCAATCCTTCAAGGCAATTTTTGAGCAGGGAGCTTCATTCTACAACATGGATTGCTATCCAGGCCCAATTCGGCCTGGACCTCCAACGCCATGACTCACGCGACCTGACCTCTACGTGCATTTCTTCGAAGACTCTTCAGCGTCGGCAAGGATACTTGGACCGGCCCGGTCGAACCGGGGCGGCTTGCCTCAGGACGGAGCGGTCTGTTGGGATTGAGCTTCCCATGGGTGAAAACCGAGCGAGGATCAATTGAGCTGGAACAGTTAGTATTGTGAACCACATGGACAAAAGAGAGGACGCTGGGCTGTGCCACAACTGTAGTTTTGAGGTTTGATGATGTTTGATATGATATTTGATTTATTTGCGAGGTCGCTTCTTCCATCCGAGAAGACCATATCCAGCACTGGGCGACATCATGTTGTGCAACCAAGTGGCTTCGGTAAAGCTCCTTAGCTCAGAAGCTAGGAAAGCAATGGGAAGCATGCAAAAGCTTGTCTAGGGTTAACTCTGGCTTGCACGATCTGGCTGCTCCTTCTGGGGACGGTCCGCACCAAGGTTGTGACAGCCCGATATTTGAAGATCTTCTTTGTCGGTGATACATGGACACACGACAAACAAGCTTTGTCCAGTCTATATATCTAGGCCACTCTAAGACTCTTCCGAAGAAATCTTGAAATGCTTCTTACTCATGTCACATCATGTCCCACATGAATCAAGTACCGAACCGACAACGAAGGCTGAGACTGTGCATACGAGTGTTCACCTAAAGAAGGTACAGGTTGGACCCACACACACCGCACCTTCCTATAGCTGCCGCACCTATAGCTGCGGCCAGGAACGGTTCTGTCCAGAGCATCGGATCGAACGAGCGGGCGAAAGCAACTCCACCGGCCGGCCACACTCAACCATCAGCCACCTAACCGCCACCACCCCAGCAGCAAGACAGCCTGGAGCAGCATCGTCATACACATCCCTACCAAGAAGACCAGGAGGAAAGAAGGTGCAGCATTACATGATGCATATCGATGAACACTTTTACTACTCAGAACAAGAACGAAACAAAGCAAAACACGAAGAAACCTTCAGAACTCGTCTAGAGACACACAAAAACCGGTTAAAAACAACGCCGAACCGCACTTGCCTCCTTGCTGGTCCAGGCACGAGGCGAAGAACCCGGAGGCTCCAAGGGCAATGAGTGCTCCAATTCCTGTGGGACTTGGATCGGTAAGAGGGAGACCCCCCTCTGCATCGTCAATTCTGGACACCTTTGTTCTGAATGTAGACCAAGGTCTTTGGATGAAAAGACACCTGCCATATGACTAAATAATAGTATAGTGAGTTGTAGATTTTAGATAATTCAAAAAGCTGGGCGTTGATTCTTTGGACTCAGTCAATATCATTGCCTGTCATAACTTCGCCATGTCAAGAAACATACAACACTTAGCAGCAACATGTGGAATGTTTCCAACCTCAGATCGTCCTGATCGGGGAGTACGTGCAATGACGCAAGCCGCCCTCGTCTCGGTCTCCGCTGCGTTTCACCGCTCGACCCGCTCGGTCGACGCTTGGTCTTCGCTTCGCTCCTCCACCCAAGACCAAGGCCCCGATTCCGATGGCCACCAAAAGCATCTGCATCTTACCTGGCGAAGCAAAACAACCATGTGCAAACTCGCATACCTGCTATTAACTATGCCCCGTCCGAAAAAAACAGTTCCTCTGCACTCTGTGAGCCAAACATGTCACCAGCTGGAACCCAAACGCGGCCCGACCCCCCACGTCCCAGGCCCACCTGTGCGAGGTCGGACGTCACCGCCTGTGTCAGTCTGGATGACCGGACCGAAGGGGAGGGACTTCCGACTTCCCACGCAGGCTCCAGGCCATCGGCAATCCGACCCTCTGGACCTTGGAGCATCCCCAGTGTAGACGGTGGTTGAGGGGACACCCAGACAGCTGGAGGTCATGGTCCTGGTATCTTTTCTATCATCAGATGTGATCGCGGAGCGCTCTGCACTGCTGTGTGAGGGTCACAGGGCGCACTGTCCGATTCGTCCGCGATACTTATCATTATCACTTGATATCAATGACATGTCTTTAATGTTTTATTGATGACATCGATTTTCCAAGATCTGATCTGTTGAACAGATGGGCTCCTTTTGCTGCTCACCACTTGTGAAAGATTTACATCGTTGGACATTTGGACTGTCCAAAAACATTGGAACTTGACAGCGCTGCATACAACAGCCAGCCCGCCCCCGAACAACTGCACCGCAACCGAGACGCCGGGTGTCATGCAAAAGCAATGCAAAGAGAAAACAACCAGGATGGTCAAGTGCCAGAAGATCTTCAGACATGAACAACAATCCCTGGCAACAAGGGGGCGCTTCCAACGTTTGGTGTGGTTCATGACATTTGTTGTTTCTCCATGAAGAAATTAGCCAAAAGCACCAGCTCGATCCCCGCTCGATCCCGCTCCGGTGCGCGAGCGAACAGTGTCTCTTCGAGAACGCGCCAAGGGGCTCATCTCAGAGCCTGAGCGACACGGGAGCGACGCAAACGTCGGACACGACGTACGTGGGGGGTTCATTGGTTGTTGTGGCCGATTCTCATCAGTGCAGTTTTTTTAAACTCTGCACAGACCGCCGAGGGCTTCCTGGCCAAGCATTAATAGGCTGAATCCCGAAACAACTAAGGACTTGAAAACTACAAACACCAGGTCAGTCAACCATATTTTTAATGGTCTGGAAAGTCTAGGGCTTAAATACTTACTCTATATATGTTCATCTTATTGTCTAAAGACACCCTTTGCTCCTAACAAACGTCCTCACGGTCGATCAAGCTGGAGAGCCGACTAGGTCAAACTCGGTCGACTAGGTCCCTAGGAATCACACCGGTCCGTGGCACAACGAGGTGTCGATCATATCGGATGTGCTCCAACTTCACCCAACATCCGGATCTTCTCCAAGTCCCTCGGCTTCACCCAACTTGCCAGGGTCTTAGGAGACCCCGCGCCCGTTGTGAGCGAGACAAATGGAAACAAACTTCTTTTTTTCTAGGGATTCAGAGGCAGCGTTTGGGAGCGAATGTGCAACCAGGGGAGGCTCGTTTTGGACCAGAACTAGATGGGGAAAAGCTGTGGCGTCTTTGGGATCTTCACTTCCTCGCACCTATCACCGCACTCCTTTTGGTTTCGCGCCTGGTAACCGCCATTCCAACATGTCGAGAAACTCCATATGACTCCTATTTGGTGAATATATGGGAGTGTCATTGAAAAAACAAAGAACCCAACAAATCTTTCGTGAAGTTGTAAAGGCAGGAATTTCAAAACCCGGTTGGTTGCGAAACCTCATTTCAACATTGGACCAACAAGCAATTCCACCAGTGTCATCACCCTGTAATGTCCTATCCATCCACCAGTCCTCCATGAATCATCACCAGTCATCCACCATCCACTTACCATCCCAGTGACTTTCTTCTGAAGCCTCCAAATCCACAGGCGGCATGGCTTCCCAACGATCACCCACGAGGCGAACGCTCTCTCGTGCTCTCGACTTTGATCCCACGAGGCTTGGGAAGTCCGTGGTTCCGCGGCATGGTCCACGGGGTTCCCCGGCGAGGTCAACGGGAATAGGCCCGACCCAGGGAACCACGGGGAGCACCGGTCCCTCATCGAGCAGAGAACCATTCGTCAAAAGAGATGGAGGTGACCGGGTCTACTCTGAGCAGCCAATGAGGTGGGTGGAGACCAAAGAACCGGTGACGGTCTTAGCCTGAAGCCATGACAAACTCATGCAAAACCGTAGTCGATGGTTCTTGATTTTGGATGTCAACCACAGTGCACATTTTGGTCTTACAGTTGTCTGCGGATCTGAACCCACTCACTGCATTAGCCAGCTCTCCCTTCTTTTCCAGCTAGAAACAAAAGCACAGCAGCCAGCCTCACGCCTGTTCGGCACGAGCTAGCGGCTAGGCAATGCATAGAGCGCCTTTCGTCTCAGCCGAAAAAAAGCAGCACCATAGAGCAAGTTGCATTAGCTCAGTTTCAGGTTTCTGAAACCAATCTCGGAATTTTTGGGGCTGTGCCAGAAGAAGTGGGCCTCTTTTTGCAACATCACGCATCCGAACAGCGTGAACCATGAGATTTCCTTTTTGTTATCTTCTATCATCTTCTATCACCACCAAGCCCACCACTTGCACAGTCAAATCATCCGCCCGTCTCTTACGCAGATGACGACCCGCCCGGGGATCCCGGTCCCATCCGGGTGGACGTCGTCGAGCCAATGTCCTCGCGCGCGGAGGAGTCCCCCGTCCGCGTGGAGGCCGAGGCTGGGGAGCCGATCTCTGCCTTGTCGTCGAGGCGGACGGTGCGGATCATCTTCCAACCTATGGTGGCAGAAATGGCATGGAGAGGCATGGAGGCAATCAAAAGGGGCTACATGACTTATATAACTTGACTGGGATGACATCTTGAAGTCAGGGTGATAAATCAACATGATGGGCATGATGGGTGAATCTACTGGGATTGAAACGTGCCTGTGTGTCTTTTATGCCATCTTTACGGTGCCTGCTGGTGAAATACAGCTGTTGTAGGGCAAGATAGTTGAATTGACTGACATCTTATTTTGCTCTGGAACAAAGCCGATGACAAACCCAAATTTTGATTGTGCAATCCTGATAGAGAAGGGACATCCACCTGCAATTGGCAGGCGAGTTTTCACTTCTTCGAAGGCATTTCCAATCTCTGGGAGAAACCAGCTTTCAAAGTCTACTAAATGAGAGATAAAAGATGATAAAAGGTACGTTTGCTTCCTCTGGCTTGGCCAGTCTTCAGAATCTGACTATAATGACCCTTTTGATTCCTTTAGGTGGGTCCGATCTTAAACGTGACCCGATTCAAACGAATGGGCACCGATTCTCCAGGGCTCGTGGCCCGCACCCACCGCACCGCTCGTGGTCCGGAGCGATTCGTCCAGGCGACAAAAGAGGCCACAGGGAAGCCAAAACGAAATCCTCGGCGCGACACCGCGGGTTGGGCCAACCGGCGCAGCGGAGGCTGAGACAACTGCGGAACGGACCAAGAGAGAACAGCCGCTGTGTTGGGACGCTGACGTGTTGGAATGGGAATGGGCGGGAAGCGTTGGGCAATTCCGGGGTGAATCATTTGTACAAGCCCCTCGCTGTATGCCTCCTTTCGAATCCCTTCCTACGTAGCTGCCTGGTTCAGTATCAGCCAGGTTTGATTTGCAGCACCTCGGCTGTATCTGCAAGGAATTGAATGCAGGCCTTTCCATCTTCTTACCCACTCACCCTCAACTCTTCAAGGGGCGAGCCCAGGGCGGTTGGGGATCCATCAGCAGTCACACTCATCGGATCAATCGAGGCTTCGCACACAGAACTCCAGAGCTATCTCGGCTCGGTCGACCGAGTCTTCAGATGTCTTGGCGTTGGATCCAAACCTCTTACTCGTTGTTTCCCCATGGCTGCCGGGTCCTGGCACAGCGCCCAACGTGCGAGAACTCTCCCCCTCCCCAATCAGAACTCCCGATCCTGCCTTCCGGACCATCCAACGGATGTGTCTTTTCGGTCTTGGGGACTTGTAGTTTCCCCTCCGCTGCCATCCAGATCCCCCATCCGCCTCTCGAGGGTGAGGTGGACTCCGCATGGGACCCCACGTTGGGACATCCGGAAGGCCCAACCCTTCACAGTCCCACGCCGGAAGACGCCAAGTCTCCCGATCATGAAGGACACTCTTCTCCCTAATGCTCTCACCCAGGATGCCACCAAGGCTGGGCCAAGTCCTTCCGCAAGACAGGAGGATGGAGGGGCCACGGCGGAGGGTTCTTTTCCAAAATTCGATGGGGGGCCGGGAGCAAAGTACTCTTTGGCCAGAAGATGGACGATGTCATACGATTTCTAAGGCAACCCTGTTCCTTTCCCTCACTCGAAAAAATAAACATATCTCTCCCCTTCTCTCAATTTAGCCTCTCCTCCTTGGTATTGGTTTATTTTCTATCTCTTCCTATCCCTGTCGCTTCTGATGCTCCCAACAAAGGAAACCCGCCACTTCGTTCGCGCAACGAAGAAACCGCGCCGACCGTTTTCCGCCCCGCAACTTCGGCCTGGCCTTTTCCCAAGTCATCCATGATGGTATAGACTCCAAAGAGCGACCTGCCACCCCAACGCGATCACGCGATCGCGGTCCGAACTTGCTTCGGGCAAGCTTTGAGAGACTTTGAACACCTAAATATCATCAAAACATCATATCAAAGTCTCTCATAACTAAGTGCATGATGATATATATATATATAATTATATATAACAAGTGAAACGCATCATCTCAAGTCAATATCAATCCCGTCCCTCCTCCCTTCCCTTCCATCCCCTCCGACCCTCTGGACTTCACGGGCACGGTGTTCAGCAGGATGGCTTTGGCGTTGCCACCGGTGCCCGCCACCAGGACGCCTCCGGTGAGTGCCAACAGGTGAAAGAGCCAACACCTCAGGTCGCCCAAAGCGGACGCGGTGAGCCGCACCGGGTGGGATGGAGGGGGTTGAATGGACCGGTGGGGAACGATGGGTGGTGGGTGGTGTTCGGTGGGTGGGAACGGATGGTGTGGGTGTTCGGTGGTGGATTGAGGACCTTTGAAGGTTTGAAGACAAAAGCTTTTCAGCCAATTCGACTGTGACGCCTGGTGTGAGGTGCAGTGTTGGGATCGAGGCCAGATATTGGGGAAATTTGCCTTGGATCTTGGTTGGACACCAGGGGCTACAGGAGTGGACAATGTCATCCCTCTGCGTCCCTTGTGTGCATTACCCCCATGTGAACGCAACATGTGAATCATCTAGGTCACTGTGACATATCCTCAACTTCGCATGTGAACGCTGCATTTGTCTTTTTGTCAAGAAACAGTAACAAGTGATACAAACTCCTGCATTCAGCTTGCGGAAAGAAGACAAGAGATGACTTTCCACGTTGCTTTCCCCAAGCTAAAATCCACAATGTAGATGAACAAAAGACGACTTTGTCATTTGCCTGTACGGTCTCCCCTGCCATAGCATGAAAAAGACTATAGTTTGCCATAGAATGCCATAGATATCCAGGCTGCAATAAAATTGTAAGAGGTTTCCATCTGGTTTCCCAACCCTGAAGTGAGGATTTGATTGTGTGATCTGACCAATCCGTCGAACAGTTTGTCACAACAAGTGACTTCGGATGGTGATCAGGGCCGCTTTTGGGGGGCAGGGATGGTATAAATAGATCCCAAAAACCGGTCCCAATCCGCAGCTTTGATGGAACTTGCGGCTGGAAGACTGACCCCCTCCATCACCAATGGCGAAAAGGATGAAGATCGGCACCATGCCTATCCATGTGGTTGCCGCCATCAAAGCAGCTTGGAAGCCCTTGTCCTGTCGGCTGAAAAGTGCTGTACATGGTTGGTGAAGACATGTGGAGACCCAACAAACCAAACTAACATGTGTCTTTTCACAACAATGAGTGAAATGCACGAAAGTTATTGACTTAGATCGTAAAAGCTGTGCGAGCATGAATATGTACCAGGATCATCCAGGATCCGTTCTTTCAGTGGTGTTTCCATGGTAAACCACGGCAAATGCTCGCATGTCTTCGTCCATAGCTGCTTTCATCTCTTTAGATGGTCCACCGCGAACATGACGGGCGCCTCATGCCGAACCCTTAGCACCATGCCATATCCCCGTCCTTCTTGTACAAGAACTGCCCCAGCTTTCCCCCCAGCACGGTGCCCGTGGTGCAGCCAATGCCGAAACTGAGGAAGACTCCAGTGGCACGGAGAACGCCTCAGTGGAGTGAATAGTCCAACTCTATACTCTATCCGACAAGTCGAAGAACAACCAAAAGGGCAACTCGGACGCCTTTGGATGGTCTACACCTTGTCCATGCAACCATAGAGTCTTGTGATGGGCATCTACATGGCCAATTTATACGAAATCTTACCTCCTCACCTCGTGCTGAAGCCATATAGCTCGAGAACTCATATAGATTTGATGGGCTCGTCGGATCATGTGCATCATCCACATATACTTCATGTAAAAAACAGCTCCCGCGCACGCCTTGGCCAGGTTTTTGTTTTGCTCCTCTGGTATCTGTGTCTCTCCCTCCCATCACTTCAATCTTTTCGTACTCGTTTTCTAAAGGGGACGCGCTTCAGAGTGACTTCCGGCAGACCTCCGCTCATCCATCAACCATCCATCAACCAACCCCTCTGACCGCGTTGGAAACCTTTTTGGGTCCGCAGGGACACCGGGAGCTGAGCAAGGGACCCAATCCGCCGTTCTGCGCCAAGTAGTCGGTGAGGAATGTGTTGATCACGGCCCAGGGGACACAACCTGCGCGCATGTTTGGCCGAACTTCTCTTCAAAGCAGAAACCTGCCTAGCCCGGGATCTAGCCTCAAGCGGTTGATGGCATTTCCCAAGTAGAGATCACAAATCCATGGCATATCAAAGGTGTTTTGCGTGCCATCAAAGTGTGATTCCCTGAACAGCTGGGACTACACCCTCGACTATGCGCCCGGCGCACACGGCGGGCGAACACGCCCTTCCGGCCTGGACTCCCCCTGTTTCACGTCGAACGCTCGTGCCACGCCTGTGATCCCTTGGAGGCAGATCAGCACCACCGTGGGGATCCGCAGGTCGCGCACCCAGGTGCCGCAGAGTTGATTCCGATCTCCAGCATCCTGGTGGACGTCGTTCCAGCAGATGCGGCAGCGTTCGTTGTCTCAATTTGTCCGGTGGAGCGGCCGGGTGTGGGAAAGCATGAGAAGAGTGTAGACGTATTGTGATAAGAGGACATCACATCTACAGCTTGAACGCCTCAGAAAGAGTAGAGTGTCAGAAGGTTGTTTTTGAAACACCTCAACTTTGTTCGACTGGCTGGTCCCTGTCGGCATCACAAGACCCTTCGGTTTTTGGTGAGTCTTTCATTCGTGATTCATGATCATTCAATATCTTGGGTGTATCCTATTCCCTGTAACAATGGGTGATGATGGTTGGTAAATAGTAAAGGCCTTTCTCTAAAATAGTGGTAAGTGTTTACCGACTGTTACAAATAATAGGACCCCCCAAATCATTAATCTATAGAATCGACACCTCAAACATCTGCTGCTCTTTGAACCACACTACCCATCTGATGTAGTCATTCAATCTCTAAACCCAGGCAGCTTCAACTTGTGCATAGTTGAAACCTTCGGTCTGACTGGGAGCCGCGATCGGGACTGCTCCCTGCGCCCTTGGAAAACTCGGTGTTCGCAGTGTCACATGCCACTTGGATCTCTTGCCAGCTCAAAGAGTCGTCAAACACCAGGGAGGCTGAAGAGTTGCAACCCGACACATGTACGTTGATCTGATCTATTAATATATGATGTATATTATGATATATTATGATTATTAGTATTATATATTTATTATATATATTATATATAAGAATATAAGTGGTCTTCGACCCGTTTTGATCGACATCCCACAAGAATCCACTTGGACTCGCGTTCGTCGTGCGCTCGAGGATCTCGCTGCCCTAGACATGAGAGCGGTTCACCCGCCCACCGTCGAACAGCTCGGCGCGCTCGGCGCAGGTCTTGGGTCCCCCTGCCTCCACCTTGTCCATGCCCGGTGGCTCCCGCAGATAGCCGAAGAGGAGCCTGAGATGGGGTGAGACCAAGATGCAGCAGGAAATGACTAGGAAAAGGATGGAGTCATGGTGCTTCTGGAAGATGCATGCAACATAGTTGGAAAATCTCCCATCATCCACAAGCCGAAAAAAAACACGCCTCCAGTCTTTTAACCTTCTAGGGCTGGTGACTCCCCACCCATTCTCTGAGCCCCCATACCTCCCATTCTTCACCCAGCGACAAGGAGAGGCTGAAGCCGCAAACGCCCACGCAAGCGAAGGGCGCCTGCCAGCCCCAGGCAGGGCCCATGGTTCCAGCTAGGCCTTGCCCCAGACCAGGGCCAACACCACTGATGATGGCCTTGGCAGGCACTGGGCTTACCGCCTGGGGGAGGATCCCATGGGCCTCAAACTCACATGACTGAACAAAGATGGTCACTGGCTGGATCTGCAGGCAGCCAGACTTGGGCACAGGAATTCAATTCGGCAGATTCACCTGGAAGTACTGAGAGTCTCTCTACAACTCATGCAATAGCCTCTAGGCTCACCTCTCTCTCAGTGCCCCCAATGTCTCCAACTCCCCACGGCCCCACCGCTTTGGCCCCACCGGGCGTCCACCAGGGCCACCGCGTGGGGCCGCTCCTCAGCGGGGTAGAGGTCCGCCAGCATGGCGAAGCTCGCTGGGAGCAAGCCGCCCAAGGCGGCGCCCACGGCGCCGCGGCACAGGAGGATGCCGCCCAAAGAGGAGGCCTAGAGGCCCGGAGAAATAGTGGGGGGGCACGGTCAGTAGGAGTCCAGGAAGCGGAGGATGGTTGGGGAGCAGTTCTATCCATTGACTCACAATGCAATCCACAGATCAACATCTGCCGTACAAACACAGTGTTTTTAAATCTATACCAGCATCCTCCAACAGGTCCCCTTTGGAGGGTTGTTAGGCCCTAACAGGTTTGAATTGGTGACCTGTTGGAGGGTCCTGGTAGATTCTTTTGTGTATTTTCAGCTAAGCCTTTACGTCCCCCAGAAGAAGAAGCGCTTCAACAAAGGCTTGATCCGCGCGACCCTCTTGGATCCCTCGTTCCTCCTGACACATGGTACACTTGTCTCCACTTGTCTTGGCCTACTCGGTTAGGTACTCGGCCGGATGTTTTTCACTTGTCTCCACCTCTTTGTTTTTTCTCTGCATAGATATGCCTTCCTGCTGGTCACCCTTCTTGTTACACTTGGTACACTTGACTCCACTTGTCTCTTTGCTTGTCTCCCTCTTAGATATTCTTGGCCGAATGATTTTACACGTGTCACCCTGAGGGTCTCCCTGCTTGGATACTCTAGGCCAGACACTTGTCACACTTGTCTCCCACTTGTCTCGGCCTGCTCTAGATGCACTTGGCCAGATGTTCTTACATCTTTCTACACTTCTCTTCACTTGTCTCTTTGCTTGTCTCCCAGCTTAGATACTCTTTGTCTCCCTGCTTGTCTCTGTTCTTGTTACACTCACTTGTCTCGGCCTACTCTGTAGTGGTCGCGCAATCTCTAAAGCAAAGTTCGGGGCCGAGCGTTCGGGGCCCGAATTTCGGAGCTCCAGCGTTCGGGGCCCGAACCTTGAGAACTTCGGGGGCCCGACTGGCATGCCCTCGGCATGAGTGAAAGCTGTTGGAAAATTGGGCCCATATAGTAGCAGTAGTAGCGGTTGCAGCAGGCGCTGCTTTGTTACAGACAGTAGTGGCGGCCCAAACTCAAGTTCGGCGGCCGAACCTTTGGCCTGACCGTTGCGTTCGGGGGCCAAACCGCTAGGCCCGACTGGCACGCCGCGTGAGATGGAAACTCAATATACCAGAGGTACTACCAGAGGTCGTCATGGTATTGGTAGGGGCTCATAGTAGACGGAATTGTCGTGTAGCTTCGGTAGTAACAGAACTTGCAAGTATTAAGCAAATGATAGCCAATTGCGAACCATAATGTTGCGGTAGTCGTCGTAGTGGGTGGGACATGCCAAAGACATCTAACGGCGGCGCCCTGCAGCGGCGCCGGCACACAGCCGCCATCAACATCTGGCAGCAGCGCCCTGCAGCGCCCAGCCGCCGCACCAGCGCCCGAGGGAGAGGGAGGGAGGGAGAGGGAGGGAGAGGGAGGGAGGGAGAGAGAGAGAGGGAGAGAGAGAGAGGGAGAGAGAGAGAGAGAGAGAGGAGAGAGAGAGAGAGAGAGAGAGAGAGAGAAAAAGAATAAAAGGACACCTGCGATCTTTGGCAGGATCGGGACAGGGGCATCTTGTTGACAAAAGGTGCAGCGGACTGCTTTTTTGAATGGGGAAGGAGAATATGGATGAAGATGGGACAAATCTGGACAGATCTAGTATGCTTTGAGCAGGTTTGACCTAGGCAAACGATCCAAGACATTAATGCTATAGTGCAAACAGAGCTTGCCAGTGATGAACATGAGAAGTAAACGGGGGCAACATTGATGATGCCAGCAGGATTGGCTCCAGAATGACTGAAGTAAAAGACCGTTTCTCCTCAAAGACCTGCCCAAGTCACATGTTTCCAGTGGTCATTCGAACTCCATGGATGAGCTCCTCCAGCAGACCTTTCTCTTGTTGAATGGGTGGAGAAGAGTAGAACAAAGCAACAAAAAATCAAAGTGGAAGCCTCGATATTTACCAACATGATGGAGTTACCACTTTTCCTGTTGAGCAACCATGTATGCTTGACTATGCTTGACTCCCGATGTCAAGTACGTAGTAGAAACTCCTTGGCCAAGGATCTGCAAATAGAGCGCTCCTTGGCCCCCCAAAACCGTTGTCTGGCAGCCTAGAAGTTGACACTTTCTCTCAGATGGACCCCAGACTACCTGGGACCACCTCTCCGGGGACCTCCCCCAGATTGCTCAGAAAGCTTCGGGCTGTCAACGAATCCCACCTGTGAGTTCAGAAACGTGCCAGCCGAGCCCAAAAGCATGCCTCAGCTGATGCATCGTCGACCTTCGCTGATTCTTTTTATGGCAGGTCGGATGGCGACCGCTGAGAGACAGTGAGAGCTGCTCTTGGTGGACTCCTTCGCACTGAACATGATTGCTAGAGCTAACAAATCGTCATCAATATCATCAATCTTGGATTCCGTAATGTTCCATAAAGGACCATGACCCATCTAGAAATCCGACCTGCCATTGACCAAAAACCGATGAAAGCTTGCTGATGGATGAAAGAGTGAACAAATCAAGAGATCATGATGGATCCATGCGAGATTCCGGCTCCAATTCGAACCGCCAATGATGTTTGACTCCAAAGCATCCCACCCCACCACCTCATCATCCCCCCAACACCGAGCTCGCACGTGGTGCGAAACACGTCGTTGGGCCCAGCGTCAGATCCGCACGAGGCTGATGCGGCGCATCACGTCGGCCAAGCGCCCCGCGAGGAGCGAGGACAGGGCGCCGCAGGTGAAGTAAACCACCGAGACGAGGCCCCCCAGAAGCTCCTCAAACCAGGCCGAGGCTGAAGGACCAGGCTGGGGGGTGGAAAAGGCGGGACTGGGACATCTAGCTAGCGTTTAGCCTGAAATAGCACGAAATGAGATGGAGATCCAGTGTGATTGCAAAGGTCAGTCAGAAAAAAAAATCTATCAGTTTGTTTGTTCATCATCAAATGCATTTATACAATCTATCTACAGAACACACAGTTTTAGTTCGAAGAAAGGGATTGAATTTGAACAGCTGACACTCGTTGCCTTTCTGGCATGTTTTTTTTTTCGACGATCTGCTTCCCAAAAATATTTGAGGAGATCTCCAGATCAATTCAATGAATCTCCATCTGGTCTGTGGTTTCTCGAAGCTTTCGATCAAAACGTCCAAAACACCGCGAATGACACCGGAGTCTGTGTCAAAGTAACGGAGGACCGCTGACCAATGGGCTTGATCAATCAAGGCCAGGGTTCTAACATGCTCTAACCTCTCTCATCACCTTTCAGAAGTCTCATTTCCCTTTGAACACAGGGGCTTCTCCTCCGAGTCAGCTAGTCTACAGTGTACAGTCTACTCGTTTAGTGAGTGTTTCATGTTTCACCGTCTTGATCCCATTTTTAAAGCCCTCCAACCATCGGATGTTCTCCCAGTCTGGTCGTGTTCTCCAGGTTCTCTCAAGGCAGTGTTCTCCAGGTTTGCATCGACCCGTCGAGTTCACCACGTGACGCTCCGCCAAGCGTCATCCTTTTCGTGCTCGTCCAGTCTGAGTTCCTCAGCTACCTGTGACATGTTGGTGGAGAGGAGCGGCTGGTCCGCCAGCAGCAGCATCTGAGCCAGTGCCAGGGGAAGAAGCTTGCCATGTTGTCTGAACTCCGCACGCACAGCGTTACAGATCCTCGGTGTTGGGTGCTCCGAGCGCCGCCTGTCACAGGTGTTTAGTCACCAGAGTTGACTGGGCGATGGTTCGTCACCAAACGCAACATGTCCATGTTCCGCCCTCTGTTTTGAAAGCATGCCTGAGCTGGTCAACGGCAAAAAACATCGGACAACTTGGGGATGTGTCCAATCGCCCAACCCCCCAAAACAGATTGAAACAAGGACCATATTCACAAGTCCATCCGCTCTTTCCTGGCTCCGTCTCAAATCTAAAAAAGGCTCCGTCTCCAGCGCATGCAGGGCCCCAGCTCTCTCCCTTCGAGAGGGGTGTCGCCGAGCAGAGGGGGCTTCCCAGGACTCCCAGAGATCTCCAGGGCCATGGGCCACACGTCCGACGGAAGCCACAGTGAACGAACGAATCGTGGGAGCTTGGGGCGTTGGACACGTGGCGAGGCTAGGGGCGAACGCGGATGCGCAGGTCGTGAAGCTGATGGATTCGGCTTTGTATGAGTCAAGGGCCCAGGTTCTTGCTGACAGGGAAGAAAGAATGAAGATGCTTCTGGAGGGCTCCATCTTGCAAAGAAGGACTAGAAAAGCCTTTGGCTTCATTGACATTCTTCCACCACACCATGGTTGCACTTGAAGATGCCCAGAACTATGCCATGATGTGGCGATGATGCAGCGTGGTTCCAGCATGCCTGATCTGGAAATGCCCAGGCCGGCCACAAAGGATTGGGAAACGGAGAGCTCAGATCTTGAAGCAAACTTCAGAGGCGAGCCTTTGACTGGTTTTGGGTGGAAGCCCTGGTAGAAAGCAGTAGAGTCTGTTTTGGATTGCTCTGCTTCCAAGATCCCTGATCTCTACATCCCACACCCGAACTAAATCCAGCTTGTCACCCACCATACCTGCAAATCACTAGCTCCATACCTCCCCCAGTCCTTTCCACCGACAGCGGAGGTGGCCTTCCAAACATCGACCGTCGACCGTCGACCGCCGGCCAGAGCGTTTTGGTGTTCGGTGCTAGGCCAGAAGCACAGGGATCACGTCCATTTTTCAGTATTGTTCACCTCCGGTTCTGTGTTGGTCAGCATGATTTTCTTTTTGGATTGGGTGCGTTGCTGCGCTCGGCTTAAAAGAACCAACACCACGGCCCTGCACTGCAGCTCGGCGCCCCGGGCGGTGAGTCCGTTGACGAAGCTCGGCTCGTCGGAAGGGATCTGAAGCCTCGCCCCGAGATGCAGGTCGGCTTCTTCTGTCCAGGGCAGGGATGTGGCTGAAAAACCCAAGCAATACCAACAGAGGTTGAAAGGCCCTATATATTCTCAGGTACCCCGGTACCCCTGTAGTGTCCTATTTACGGTCACTTAACCTCTGTTGGTAGACAAGTAACACTTCATGAGTTGCTTCATGTTCTTGGTGTGCTGTCTTCTCTTGTCAACAGGGTTTTGGAGGCGCTAATAATTCTTTGTTGGATGTGTTCGAGCTAAACCCACACGACTGTGGCAAATCATGATGGATTTGTGTCGGAGAGTACCAACAACCAAAGTCCGCCCTATTTAGCGTCCCTACTGACACCAAACTTCTCAGCCAGCGAACCAGTCCTGGTCGATGAAAGCATTTGCTGCATGGGTGCGCCCATCCACAAATGAGCACTGCGTCGTCAAGTGGATTTGGTTCAGGATGGATTTCTTCCCGCGGAAAATCATTCAGGATGTTTGAACCAACCAGTCCAAAAAGTTCCATATTCCACACATGTCCCCGAGGCCAGGGTTTGAATCCACTCGTGAAGCAAGTGATTGAAGGCACTTGCTAAGGGACCAAAACATCAAGATCTTGGGCACAACAGGTCTTTGAATTCTCGTTCCGCGCCACTCGACAATGAGTTGCAGATCTTGATCCACGCAAAAACACGTTCAACATAAGCCAGTGAACCCGTTTGGTAGAACCCCTGGTCCACACCAACAAGGGGTTTGACCATGTTTGACCGGTTCACCCCGGGTCCACACCGAGGACGACTCGCCGACTTCGCCCTCCAAGGGGCCACAGCGCGACGGCCGCGAGGAAGCTCAGAAGCACGTGCCCACGACGAGCCATCCCTGCGAGGCGGAGGTCCATTGTGCGGACCAAGGCTATGGACCTGAATGGCTTTGGTAGCTTGACTTGGGATGGGTTGAGTATGGTTGAGTCGCCCTTGCTTAAAGAAGAGGCAAACAAGAAGCAACAGCCCATCACAGCCGCTCACTGCCGCTCATCTTTGTGGCGATTCACTCTCAAACCGACATATCATCTAACTTTGCATGTAGTGGATCTCAATTCCTTCTTGCGGAAACGCCCTTCTTCGCGAAACAAAACCGGCTTTACTTTCACGAACCCTGACGTTCAACTTTCGCGGGGGTATATGCTAGAAGTCTTCTTGGTTTGGTAGTTTTATGTTGTTTCCACATACCTCTCTTTCGCACGGTCCAGCATCTAGTATCGTTCGCTAACACGGTCCAGCATGTTTGCGAACATCAGAGGCTCTCAAGAAGACCCAGGCCGCTGTCACGACCTGATGAACTACCAGGCTGTTGCTCGGAATCGAACCATGGGACAGCCTCGTTTGGTGGGACATCTTCCTTTCCGAAAGAGGACGTCTATTTCATTCTATTTCTGAAGGTGAAGGGAGGATTCTGAGGGGAGGAACAGTGATATAAGATGATATAAGTGATAAGTCCTCAGCAACTTCAACCCTTTTCCATCTTTTCCAGGCCCTTCCAGGCCTACAAGAGGTGCGGTGCGTGCGGTGAAGTTCAAGTGACACCGCGAAAATCAGGGCTGCGGAGACGAGTCCAACAGTCATCGTCATCGAAGTCGAAGAAGGGCTGCGTTTGAGTGCGTTTGAGATCATGAAACCACCCTGAATGCCTTTTTTTGAGACATGGCACCTCCTTTAATATTTTTAACCATGTTTTTGAGGTCCCACAGCGTCCAACATGTCCAACGTCGTTTCGTTGTTCGAATGAAGATATACCATGGCCACCACCAGGTTGACTGGATCAATTGTGACTTTAGGCTTTAACCGTAGACAGGCTCCCCGAACAAACTTCGGCAACACGAAGCACCTTTGGAGCGTATGAGAATGCTCTACAGCCCCGATTAATCTACAATTCGCTGAAGGAAGGATTGGTCTTGTGTAGCTCAAAGGCTCAAACTGTGCGCTTCAACACTTAGTTGTTCAGCTTCGATGAGTTTCTGAGGGATCTGTTTCTTCAATCCTTTCGTTGCCAAATGTTCATTTTTGTTTTATTTAAAATGTGTAAAAAGGATTTGCAAACATGTCATCTGAAGGTGCTCAAACCAGTCAAGTGCCGATGTGGTTCCTTGGTTCATCATCCTAGCCACTTGCCTTTTTCAGATCCTAAAAGATCGTACGTGTCTAGTCCATCTGATGAACAGTCTCGACCCAACAGGCTGGCTAGAGCTGGCTTGAGCTCGTTAAGTCCTGCAAAGCGAGGCACCTGAGATGACCTCGTTCGGCCCAGGTCGCTCCGCAGATCTCTTTGTTCCACAGCGGTAAGATCGTCAGCATCGAGGCCCAGGTCCCTCTTGCTGTGGGTGAAATCCCTTGAGACCAGTCACGGACCAAATGCCAGGGGAACCGAAATCACGGCCCCTCCGGGAGACTGCGCCTACACCGGACCCTGGAATCTGCCGCCAATCGGATGCCTTCATATGATCTGTACCAACCCAGATTGGGTTCGATCCCAACGTGCCATGGGGCCTAGAGAACGGACAGTTTCTCGATGGTCAGTTCCAACGTCTGGTGTTGACGTCGATGACCCGTGACCCGGTAGACGAGGAGGGACGGCCCAGAGTCGATCGACCACCTGAAAAAGCCCAAAGGTCCCCATCTGCAAGGACCTACCTTCAACACCCTTCCACCTTAACAGGCCAGTCTAGGAATTGAGGGTCCAGCTGCGTTCCTCTCCCAGCGTCCACCAATAGGTCAGCTTTGCCACGTCCAGCCACACCCCTGATGGAAAAAAAACAGAAACACAACATACAGTATCTAAGCCATTCTAAGCCCGAAAGGCACAAATCACACGTTGATGGTCTCAGTCTTGCTGGACGTCGCAGGTCCTGCCATGTCCTGTTTGGGCATAACGCCTCCTGTTTGGGCATAACTGTGCAGCTCGCTCAAATGTGCGAGCTCTCTCCATGATGGACCCTTTTGCCAGGCAGATTTCCGATCCGAGGGCATCAAGGGCTGCCCGAGACTCATCCGGTCCGGATGAGATTGGTGCTATTAATGCTAGTTATATCAGGATGGACCGAAGAAGCTCCCACCAAGTTACGACTTTAAACAACAACAATGGCAAAAACGTGGCCGAACAACTCGTTTTTCACAGCTCGAAATCAAAAAGACTCTCCGGACGGTCACCTAAAATGGATGCTTTCTCCGGTTTAAGATCATTGGACCACCCTGTATCCAATCTTCAAAGCCCTCACTCAATCTCAGCCTTTGCACCGGCCTCCTCCAACTGCTTCTTGGCGTCCTGATGGGCGGCGCATCGAGGGCGGCCAGAAAACTGCCTCTTAGACGAAAAACGCTGTGATGCAAAGCACAGTCCCAGGTCTTTGAGGAATTCATGATATTTGGTTTGATGTTTTACTAGTTCCCTTGACTTCCATTCGGAACTAACTTGGAATCCCTGACCCAATCACTACTCCTTAAACTGCTGCCCATCCTCACCCCCTCAGTCATGAACTCCCTAGCCTCCGTGGCTGCACAATTTGCATATGGCATATGGTCCAAGCATCGAACACGGACTGGACTGCGCTTCTGAACGGCTGTGGGTCCAAACCCGGGAGACCGACCGGTGTTTCCCAATCAGCGGTCGCCGCCCCGGACCGACAGATCAACGGCTCGGACGGGCTCATTGAAGCTGGGGGGGGGGTCTTCTTGGCTTGCAAGGGGCCCCATACTCCGCAGGGCCTAAGCCGCTCCCGGTGGCTCGGCTCTTGAGCCGCTTGAGCCGCCTGTCAAGCTTGAGCCGCCCGCGAGCTCCGCCCGGTGCCTCGCATGCTTCCTTGGGCTTGCCCTCGATGATCTGGCAGGTCGGGGGAAGAGTTTGGGAAGGTCGGGCAGGATTCTGGTGATGTTCGGTCAAAGCCCCACTGGCTTGATAAGACCACGTCAAGATCCCAAAGGACCTGCTCCCAACCGGGAAATCCGTGAGACCAGGGTTTGAGTGGAAGAAGCTGGAACGCGACCGCTGGGGCATGACCATGGTTCACCTGGTCCTTCTTAGCACGGTCGCTGAAGCTTGGCCACCCAGGCTGCGCCAAGCGCAGCTGAGTTCCGCCGAGGTCGGAGGGTTTTCAACAGAATCTCACTCCCTCGGAATCAACCATGTTGAACCAAACGCCACTCACTGAAGATCTGACACATTGGCGACACCAAAAAAAGACGAATAGGCTGGGCCGGGGACTGTGAGCTGGTGACGTACCAATCAACTTCATCCCGATACGAGAATCCAAGCACCACTGGAGGACTGCTATAGATGACTTCTTACACGAGCACCCGTGTCCCACTGGAAACACCCTACACTCGCAATTAGTATCGCCTGCAGCCTCTGCTGGATTAGCAGATTAGCACCTTGCAAGAATCAGTTTTGCACATTGGAAAGGTAGACCTCCAGTCTTGAGTCACAATGCTGGTGAAGCCTAATATCCCAATTCCATCCTTCCACCGAAATTGAGACTTTGGGGCGTTCTGATCTGGAAGAAACCTACCGCCCCACTACTCAGCGTTCTTTCAACCGAAAATTTAAAAGATAAACACACACATCGCCAAAACATGTTGTTTGTGTTGCACCGATGGCGTGTGGGACAATGCGGGGTTTCACGCCGTGAGATCTCCGCCGTGTACGATCGCCTGCCATCTGAAGCCATCAAATCTGCCCAACCAGTCAGAGTCAATTCTGCTACGTGACCGACAATTGGGTCTAATGATCGGATGATTCTGATTATTCGGTGCCACCCAGGCCTTTTTCATCACACCCACTGCACACACGGATTGTCTGCCTTGCCGGGATTGTCTGCCAAGCCCTTCGCTTCCTTCAAGCCCAAGCCTGCTGCAGGCAGCTGTCACAGAGCAGGCTGGGCAGGTTGGGCAGCTTGTTGATGCGTGCCATGTCTGGACTACCAGCTTTGAACCTTTGGTCCTCACGACTGCTCGTACAACATCCGAGAAGGGACAAAGGGACAGCTACCTAAGGTCGGTTTTTTTTTCGCCCGGTGCGAATCTTTGTCCAATAACTGTAGCAAACAAAGGAATTTGGATGGTGCATTCAAGAATGGTGGATCTGCGTCTCTTGGTGCAGGCAAACGAAATAGCTCGGCCAAGCAGTTGGAAAATGGCTTCGATAGCCATATTTGGAGGTCTCTAGCCATGATGGGCGAACACCTGAAGTTCACCCCTTCAGGAATTTTGCAGCTCAGCCTCTTTTCAAGTGAATACTTCCATAGTCAATCCGCGCTTAGCCTCCGGCTACCTGTAGATTCTCCACTACCACTGCTTCCCTTTTGGCGGCTCCACTACCACTGAGCCGAAGAAAAAGGCAAATGGAAGGCCTCTGATGGCCTTGTGGGGGTTGTACACGACAGGGGAGAGAGGTTCGTCAGTCGATTCGTCACATCAATGAAAACAGCCTGAATCAAGTGTTGTGTGCGGGAAAAAACCACAATGAACCACAATCACCTAGCTCTGGGATAGGCAGGTTGGCTGGTTCAGGGCCTGTGATACTTCGGATGGCTTTGATCACTGCGATCTTCTTCTCTTTTGGAACCTCAGCTGCGAACATCTGGGGCAGCTAAGGGTGGAGCTGGAGCTCCTTTCCGCAAACACATGGGATTTTGCTGGTCATTGTGCCATACTAGGCGGAGAGGAACTCGTCCATCAAGGGTATTGGAACCTGTCGACTATACAAAGTAGCCATTGCTAGGTTGCTCATTAAGAGTGTTATCTTCATCCTTCTTTGCGCCTCCTCTTGTGGAGTGAGGCGGGTGTTTTCACGCCTCGCGACTCGCCACAACCAAACAGTTATTGACTCAATAACCAGTGGATCCCAGTTACCACTAGACTATATAGTCTTTGGAACCACTGGTTACCAGCTATAGTGGTAACTGGATGCCCTGGGATAGGTATCTATCTGGAAGTCAATCTTGGCTGCCGAGATCTGGCTGAACATGTTGGCAACAACCACAAACCGTGTGGCGATTCGAAACAACCAAAGCACCAATACCCCCCAAAAAAAGGGAACATAGACCAAACTTTCTGCAACCAACAAAGTGTTAGTCAGATCGTCCCTTGCATACCATGTCCACCTATTGATTTTGGAAAGGGACCCCAATCTGCAAACACATTGCGTGGTGATGCAGTACGCGGCAAAATAGATCCATCATCACCAATACGTTGCCAGATCATGCTAGATCATTAGAACATATTAGAACTACTGTATCCATATATGGACGTCAATGGTATCATCTATCTAGTATCTATGGCAAGACTGACACATAATAACTACAAAAAACTTAGCTACTACGTTCGAGATATATACTTCAAGCAAGTCTGTCGTGATGGCTAAACACACCTTAAGCCTTATGCCCTTTAAGCTGCTCTCTCTCTCTCTCTATCTCTCTCTCTCTCTTTCTCTTTCTGCGGGGCTCTATCTGTCTCTCGTTTGGTCGAGTCACTTCCTTCAAGATCAAGTCAAAGTCCGTCTTCTCAGGTGCGGCTTCCTCCGCGCGACCGACGCGCGTCGGTCGCCGACCGCGTCGTGGACAGTCGGTTGTGCACCGGAGGACGTGCGCGCGACAGGATCTCCAACGGTCGTCGACTGGCTGGATTCATTGGACCACCGGATGCATTTGGACAGCTACAGGGCCTGTAACTGGCAGGCTTTTGGCAAGTATTGCTATGTTATGCTATATTATAAGGTCCAATGTGGCCAGATGTGGCCTGGACAGATTGGTCATTGCCTGGTCGCACAAAGGCTTAAGTTTCGCGGATCAATGATGATAGGGCTCTGCCCCGGCACACTAACAGTCACCACAAATCATACTTGGGGTCTGCTTTCTTTTTTTCCCAGATAGCGAAGCTATAGGGGTTCTTACTTCTCAATGGATGGGTTCCTGATTGCGGAAATTGGCTGCCGCTGCCGCTGCCGCCTTGTTTCCCAAGCTTGTCTCCCGTCATGATTTCGCTCTTGGCTGCCGCTGCCGCCTTGTCTGTGAAGCGTGTCTCCCTTCATGATTTCGCTTTTGGCTGCCGCTGCTGCCTTGTCTGTGAAGCTTGTCTCCCTTCATGATTTCGTTCTTGGCTGCCTCTGCCGCCTTGTCTCCCAAGCTTGTCTCCGTTCATGATTTCGCTCTTGGCTGCCTCTGCCGGCTTGTCTTCCAAGCTTGTCTCCCTTCATGATTTGGCTCTTGGCTGCCGCTGCCGCCTTGTCTCCCAAGCTTGTCTCCCTTCATGATTTCGCTTTTGGCTGCCGCTGCCGCCTTGTCTCCCAAGCTTGTCTTCCTTCATGATTTCGCTTTTGGCTGCCGCTGCTGCCTTGTCTGTTCAGCTTGTCTCCCTTCCTCATTTCGCTCTTGCCTGCCGCTGCCAGCTTGTCTCCCAAGCTTGTCTCCCTTCATGATTTCGCTCTTGGCTGCCTCTGCCGC